GCTCCTGGGCAGGTCAAAGGAAGAGGTCAGGAACACAGGCTTTGGGTTTCTCAACCGCATTTGCATCCCCAACTCCTCCACAGGGTGAGGCTGAGCAACTCCACTCTCTGGCCTCAGTTTCCTCATCTGTAAAATGGGAGTGATTCTTAACTCTCAGAGTTAATCAATCAAGTAAAGGGGAGCTAGCATAGAATATGTGCACAGTAATCATTCTATAAGTGTCAACCAGCAGTAGCATGTACTGTAAGTGGGCATCTGAGGAATTGTTATTGATAATCATATTTTTAATGTGAACAGAGAAAGAAAAGGCTCAGAGTAGGTCTTGACTCACCCAAAAGCTTCACAGCAAACAGAACTGACATTGCAACCCAACAGAGCTGCCTCTACTTTTCCACAATTGGCTATTAACTGATGGCCTTTAATAGTACCCAGGGTTCTGCCCCACTCTGGGTTGAGCGCTACGGAGGCTGCAAACAACCATCACAGATCCCTGACCATGTGCTGCATGGTCCAGATGCCACACAGAAGTCAGAGAAATGAATCCTCAGCAGGTCTCCACCAGGCAGGGACAACAATTGTTATTGCACAACGAGGAAACTCTGAAAGGAACCGAGCTTTGCCTGAGATCACAGGAACGGGCAGTGGCAGCCCTGCAAGGGGACACTGATCTGTCTGCTTCCAAAGTTCTGCCACTTCCAAAAATAAGAGCCAATCCCTGCGCCCAGGATGCAGAGAAGGTGAACCCAATAGAACTCAGGCTACGGGTTTCTAGAAGCCCCAGAGTTTAAGTATGCATTGTGGGAACCAAGGGGTACAGGCAGACATGACAGTTCAGAAGAAGTGAACATTAGAAATAGGGTATTTTAATCGGAGAGTTGAAAAGAGATTTGAGACAACACTGAAGTTGGCATTCTGAGCCAGGAGAGAGGAGAAAAGTATAGGAAAATCACATTTATGAATAGACTAACCTAAGCCAGCACTAACCTAAGGCTTTCCCAGACCTGGGTCCCTCTGCTGCCCATCAGAGGATCAGGTTTCCTAGTGAGGCTCCCAGAATACTGAGAGTGCTCTGTGAGCTGAACCAAGCAGGAACGGGCGACAGCGTGGGAGCTACAAGGATACCGCCTTAAGGAAAGAGATTTGGGGGAGGTTTGCAGAAGTAAAAGGTGTGTTCGTGCCAAGTAGAGACAGGCCTGAATCCAGGCGAGGAAGGGGCTGCTCTTCCCGCTGCAGACTCTGGGGGACCACCCAGCTGCACAAGTCAGGGCTGTGATCAAAGTGATGGTCTCAGGGGCTTTGCCTTGCCGCAGTGGGACAGATGTACCGTACACAGGTGAAGGAGAAAAAATTAGGAAAAAACTCAGTGAGTCAATAAAAAATAATAATAATGCAACTCTTTTCCCATCAGAAAGGACCATTTTGGAATTTTTCACCCAGACCTGAGCATTACTAGTGGGTGAACCTTTCCTTATGTCTGCGGGGCATCAAAAAAGGGGGGCAGGGCAGAAATTTAAAGGTGGGTTTATGGCCCTGGAGAATTCTCGCAGCAGGCTCAGAAAAGCCAATCCTGCCAGGGAGAGAGAAAGCGGGTGGAAGCCTGCTCCGTGGAGAGGGGCTGGCTTCCCCGCAGCGCCCTCTGCTCTGCCCTGTTCCCTGCCTGCGCTGCAGGGCGCAGCACCCAATAGGCAGCTCCGCTGTGGGGATGGTCTTTTCCCACCCGGTGAGGCTCGGCAGAGCTGTAAGCCCATTCGCTGGCTCGGCCCTGGCCCCAGGCCTGGTCCATCATCACACCATCCCCTCACCAAGCCCGCGCCCCAGCCAGCCCCCTCCAGGCCGCTAGGCCTTCTCCGAGGCCAGTTCCAGCGGGACCCAGGAAACCCTGCTCGCGCCGCTTTGGCTCTGAACTGAGCGGGCAGCGACACCTGGTGGACGAAATGGTGTAAAGCCACAAAGAGTGAAAAATAGAGAGCAGAAACTGGGTTAGGCGTGGAGGAGACAGGATGAGGAGAGAGAAAGGAGGGAGACGGAGATTCATACTGACTCCATGTGAGAACCTAAGGGACACTCTTTCCCAGCGAAGGG